GTTCAATTCTGGTCAAGGGCATGTACCTTGGTTGTGGGCACATTCCCAGTAGGAGGTGTGCAGGAGGCAGCTGATCGATGTTTCTCTCTCATCAATGTTTCTAACTCTCTATCCCTCTCCCTTCCTCTCTTTAAAAAATCAATAAAATATATATTTTTAAAAAATTTTAAAAAATTAAATATGGAACTGCCATTTGACCCAGTGATCCCACTTTTAGGAATATATCCCATGAAAACCCAAAACACCAACCAGAAAGAATGTATGCACCCCTATGTTCATAGCAGCACAACTTACAATAACTAAGATCTGGAAACAGCCCAAGTGCCCATCAGTAGGTGAGTGGGTAAAAAAGCTGTGGTACATTTACACCATGGAATACTATGCAGAAGTAAAAAAGAAGGATCTCTTACCCTTTGAGACAGCATGGAGGGACCTGGAGAGTTTCATGCTAAGTGAAATAAGTCAGTCAGAGAAAGACAAGTATCACATGATCTCACTCATATGGGGAATCTAAATAACAAAATAAACTGATGAATGGAATGGATGCAGAAACATGGAAGCATGGAACAGAGTGGGGAACCTCAGAGGGAAGACAGGGGATGGTGGGTGGGTGCATACTAGTATATACATAACCTTGTATGCATATATACATAACCCATGGGAGCAGATAGGGGGGTGGTGAGGGTCTGGGGAGGGCTGGAGAGGGCTGATGGAGGGAAAATGGGGACATATATAATACTTTCAACAATAAAGATTTTTTAAAAAAGAACTGAAGGTTCCACGAACATATCTATAGACCTTCATATTGAGAAACACTGAATTAAAGGGGCAACTTTGTCTCTTCAGGTCCTCTCTTATCACCATTGTGACTATAAAACCCAATACAAATATAGGTGCTGAAACTCCTAAAAAAAAGTAATGCAAATTATCCCAAATGAATATTATTTTTTAATATATTTTTATTGATTTCAGATAGGAAGGGAGAGAGAGAGAGAGAAAGAGAGAGAGACATAAATCATAAGAAAGAACCATTGATTTGCTGCCTCCTGCACGCCCCCTACTGGGGATCAAGCCCACAACCCGGGCATGTGCCCTTGACCCGAATCGCACCTTGGATCCTTCAGTCCGCAGGCCGATGCTCTATCCACTGAGCCAAACCAGCTAGGGCTGACTTTTATTTTTTAAAAGATGACCCATCAAAATGAAAACACAAAATTTAAGTTTTATAAGAGGCCTCAGAAGTTCCCAGAGAGAAATCGTGGATGTGTAGATCCTCCAGGTCTCAGCTTGAGGAAAACACAGGACCCAGAAGGAGTTGGGGTGTGAAAACTCCAAAAAGGGGGAGCAGAGGCATCTCCCAGTGTCATTGCGTGAACGCTGACTGACAGAAAGAATGTGTTGCTCCTTCCCCGCTCCTCCCCCTGCTGCTGGGGCTCAGCTCTCTGAGAACAGTCACCAGGGAATCGGGAAGAAGAAGGGAGATAAGCCAGGAGGATTATGTCCCCAGACCTGGCTAAAGAACATGGGATCTAAAGAAGACACAAAAAGAGGGTGACAAATCAAAAACTGCTTACCTGTTAGGATAGAGGCATGGACTGGGGAGTGAGGAAGGAGCGATGTCTCTCTCCTCTTTTCCCTAAAGATTTGAGAATAAAATGGAAGAGCAGACTTGGGGGAAGAGATGAAAAGGAAACTTCTTCCCCAAGTGACTGGATTCAATCCCACCCTCTCATTACAAGTGTCCTCTGCCCTCTTTTTTTCTTCAATGGCCCAGGGACTAACCTCACAGCATCAAAGTTTATGGATGCAACTAAGACATTTCCCCAGTTTCAGGTAAGAAGGACAAGAGGGAGGAACACACAGGAACCTCCCAAAAGAGAGTAAGATTATGGGAGACTCTGGGTTAACAAGGTCAAAGACTTTTTTCCTCCCTGGCAGCTTGAAGACTGGCCCCCATCATGAACAGCATAGTAACTATCTGGACTGCGAAGTTCATGACCAACAAACTATTCCAGAGGAAACAAGTGCTCACTGACGTCCTTCATCCTGGGAAGGCAACATACGTAAGACAAAAATTAGGAAAAACTAGCCAAAACAGACAAGACCACAGCAGGTGCCATCTTTGTGTTTGGATTCAGCACCCATCTTGGCTCTGGCCGGATGTATGACTCCTGAATTACCCAAAGGAAAGGGAGCCCAAACATAGACTTGAGAGACACGGCCTGTGTGAGATGAAAGACCTGAAGGGAGCAGCGAAAGGAACGGAAGAACAGAACGAGGGAAGTCGGGGCCCGCAAAGGCCGTGTTGGTGCTGCAGCGAGTGAGCTGGAGATGGGACGACGGAAGGAGTAAAGATTCTGCGGGGACTTCATCTGTGGCGACTGCTGATTTTTCATGAGAGGGTTATTTAAGAACTTAAAAAAAAGAAAGTCAAAGATACTTCTGGGAGAAGGGAAGGACTTGCCAGGGAGGGGGGTCACTGGTTCTGCTGTGATTAAGGAGGCGAACCCCATTCTGGAACAATTTCTTCCCTCTTCCCAGGGGGCCCTGCTGAAGATCGGCTGAGTGAAAAAGCCATACCTGACAAGTTTCTGAGGATTTACCTGAAATAACTGTTTTACACCCACCTGGAGTCCCTTCTTTCCGAGACCCCGCCTGCCAAGGTGGCTCAGAGGGTCTGGCGTCTGCTGCCACTCTCCGCCTTCTCCCAGAAGGGCTTTTGCCTTCATTAACGTTCTAATCTGATGGCATAACCCCGTGGTCGGCAAACTGCGGCTCGCGAGCCACATGCGGCTCTTTGGCCCCTTGAGTGTGGCTCTTCCTAAGCCTTAGGAGTACCCTAATTAAGTTAACAATGTACCTACCTATATAGTTTAAGTTTAAAAAATTTGGCTCTCAAAAGAAATTTCAATCGTTGTACTGTTGATATTTGGCTCTGTTGACTAATGAGTTTGCCGACCACTGGCATAACCCAAGGCGAGGTCCAGGACCTGGTGGAGGTAATTTGTGAGCTGGTGGCTGTTCTGTGTTGTCACATGAGTGAAGTAAGGTTATTTTCTTATTCATGCAATAGCCTTTGCTGAGTACGCAGAAGTCACCAAAGAAACATGGAGGTAAACACAGAGATCTCCACCAGTAGTCTAATAAGGGTAGAGAGTCATTTAACCAAAGCTCCAGGTGCAAGGGCAAAAGAGGGAAGTTATGTCCAACTGGGGGTGATCTGAGAAGGAGTCCAGAGGATTGAGCCTTGGAAGAGGGCCATCACGTTGACACGCCGTGTTTGAAGGGGCCCACTGCTGGTGGAGAAAGCAGGCAAGGCAGGAGCCGTAAGGAAAGGGTGCCTCTTTACACCTGGCATCACTCGCCTCCAGCTTTGCCTCCAGCCTTCCCAGAGTACTCAACACCCACTCCTGCTGCCCTGTCCCAGGCATCCAGCCAGCTGGACGTCTTGACAATCTTACGTCCCACTGTGTTCTGTACCCACCACATGGGACCATATGCTGCACTTGCTTTCTGCCATTTGCCTCAGCATGCGCACAAATATTCTAGCTTTCCAAAGGATAAATAAATTCCCTTCTGTTTAGCTTTGCTGGTTTCTGTGGTTTTTAGTTCTGCTGGGATTTATGTCAAAATTGTTCCTCCTGTTCGCTCCCAAAGCATTTGGCTTGTGCTTGTGTTCTCGGTGGGGCTTTGGGGCAGAGCGAGGCAGCCTTACCATGTGAAATGTTTAGTGATGAGAGCTGCTCTTTACCAAGCCCTGACCATACGGTGACCACAGCAGTGGGCCTTGTGCTAAGTCTCATGTAGACCACTTCTTTCCCCTCACACAGCTCCAGGAGCTACCCTTCCAATCACTCAGCAGATCCTCAGCAGGCCCTCCTCTGGGCCAGGCACTGCGCTGGGAATAGGGCAGTGGGAAAAGCCCCGCATCTCTTGTAGCTTATATTCAAGTGAAGATAATCTCTATATATAAAAGGCTAATATGCAAAGTGTCCCCTCGGGAATTCCACCGGAGACCAGGAGTTTGTTCGCTCGCTCGCTATGACGTGTGCTGACCACAGGGGCGGAATGAAGGAGGGCCCTGGCTGGCAGCCAGAAGGCCCCGATCAGCCCTGATCGCCAGCCAGGCCTAGGGACCCTACCCGTGCACGAATTTCATGTGCTGGGCCTCTAGTAGTCTATAAAAATCCACCAGGAAAATGTGATGTCAATTCTGTACAACCAGGTGGTATTAGATAAATGAGCACAGTGAAGCAGGGTAAGGGAATGGCTGGGACGTGCTCCCAGGTGTGTGTAAGGCTGCTTTTAATCAAGTGACAAGCCAAGCCCCCTTGTGGTGGCGACATTGGTGCAGACATGAATGAAGGAAGGGAGCACACGGCAGACGTCTGAAGGAATGTGTCCAGAGAGAGCACACAGGACATCCACGGCCCTGAGGCAGGAAGATATTGGATTTTTATGCTAAATTCATAGCATCTAGACAGAACAGCAAGGGGCCCAGAGTGGGTTGAGCAGAGGAAGGAAGGAAAAAAGTAGGAAGGGATGAAGTTAGAGACATGGGGAGGAACAAGACTAGGAAGGCTTCACAGACCAAAGTAAGGGTTTGGAATTTGTTCTTTTTTTTTTTTTTTTTTTTTTTTTTTTTTTTTTTTTTTTTTTTTTTTTTTACTAAATAAAAAAATTCTTGCAGTTTTGCTCAGTGGATAGAGTGTGGCCTGTGGACTGAAGGTTCGATTCCGGCCAAGGGCACATGCCTGAGTTGCGGGCTCGATCCCCAGTAGGGGGCATGCAGGAGGCAGCCAATCAATGATTCTCTCTCATCATTGATGTTTCTATCTCTCTCTCCCTCTTCCTTCCTCTCTGAAATCAATAAAGAAATGTAAAAAAAAAAAAATTCTTAATGTTTTTAATTGATTTTTTTTTTTTTGAGAGAGAGACATTGATTTGTTCTTCCACTTATTTATGCATCATTGGTTGTTTCTTGTATGTGCCCTGACCAGGGATGGGAACCACAACCTTGGCATGTTGGGAGGATGCTCTAACCAACTGAGCCACCAGCCACGGCAGACTTTGTTCTAAGTGGATTGAGAACCATTCAAGGGTTTAAGCAAGGTGAGTGATGTCATCTGGCAATTTGAAAGCTCACCCTGGTTTCTCATGGAGGAAGGACTATATCAGTCAAAAAGAAGCAAAAAATCACAGGAGCTTGACTAGGGTAGAGGAGAGGGCCAAGGGCAGCATCCCGGGACCCTCTGAGACTTAGGAGTCCGGAGGAGCAATAGAAGCTGTCAGGGGAGACAAGGAGGAGCAGCAATATGGAAGGAGGGAAGACTTTCTTTAGGTGGATCCAGAAAGAGTATTTGAAGGGGAGAAAGCAGCATTTCAAGGAGGAGGGAGTGATCAACTTTCAAATGCTGCGGATGGGTCTAGTCCAGGGGTCTCAACCTTGGCACGTGTATAGCATATATTACAAAGGAACAGAACATCCTGCAGCTTAAGAAATAAAGCCTTCCTGCAGTTGTTGGAGCTCCCCCTGTGTCCCTCTCCATCAGAATTCCCCTCCCACCAAGGGGTAACCACTCTTCTGAATGCCATGCTTTTACTACTGAGGCCAGTAGCAAGCGAGATTTTTTCTTCTCAGAGACAAGTTATATTATTATAGTACTAGAGGCCCGGTGCACAAAATTCGTGCACACTGGGGGGGTCCCTCAGCCCGGCCTGTGCCCTCTCACAGTCCGAGAGCCCTTGAGGGATGTCCAACTGATGGCTTAGGCCCGCTCCCCTTGAGGAGAGGGCCTAAGCCATCAGAGGGACATCCTTAGTGCTGCCGCGGAGGTGGGAGAAGGTCCCACCACTGCTGCTGCACTCACCAGCTGTGAGCCCGGCTTCTGGCTGAGCGGTGCTCCCCCTGTGGGAACGCACTGACCACCAGGGGGCAGCTCCTGCATTGAGCGCCTGCCCCCTGGTGGTCAGTGTGTGTCATAGCAACCGGTCGTTTTGCCATTGGGCCAAAACTGGCTCTCCAACATCTCCCAAGGGGTCCTGGATTGTGAGAGGGTACAGGCCAGGCCAAGGGACCCCACTGGTGTACGATCGGGGCCAGGGAGGGATGCAGGAGGTTGGCCAGCTGGGGAGGGACTGCGGGAGGGCTCCAAGGCGTATCCAGCATGTCTCACTCAGTCCCTATTGGCCAGATCCCAGCAGCAAGCTAACCTACCGGTTGGATCATCTGCCCCCTGGTGATCAGTGCACATCATAGCAAGCAGTTGAATAGTCTTAGCATATCATTAGCATATTACGCTTTGATTGATTGAACGGCCAACCAGACTACTGGACACTTAGCATATTAGGATTTTATTGTAAAGGATGTTTGTATGATGAAGAGAATGTTTCAGTCAGATGGGGGAACTGCTAATGTGGAAGAGACTGGGTACTCTCAAGAGTCTAATCCTGAGCAGGTGAAAGGGATGGGACCCCAGTGCCCACGCGGGTGGGGCCAGATCAGCGTCTCTGCAGTAACAAGGGGAAGGAGTGAGTATGGTGGACATACAATGGCCTGGCAGATTTGGGACCATGAGGAAGTTTAAAGTTTCTATTTTCTCACTGAAGTAAGAAGGTAGGTTGTCATCTTATGTAATTGTGGTCTCAGATTTGGGGAATGTGAACCGACTGGGGTAATGTGGGCTGGCGGCCATGCTGAGGCCCACAGCAAGTGAGTCCAGGCCGTCTGACTGCGTTTTTCCTGATGATTCAGCTGTCGGGTGCCGGTGTGGAGCAGGCAGAGTCGGATTTAACCAGGAATAAAATGTTAGAGGGAGAGGGGCAAAGGCTGAGAGGTGATTATGATGTTGAACCTGGGGACCCACACTTGGTAATGCAGGAAGTGAGAAGTGGAGGGGATCAAACATCAAAGAAGAGTGAGAGAGTCCATGGATGGGAGGTCCGGGTGGGGCCGAAGAAATTTTGGGATGGGGGTGACAGGAAAGACTGAAGGATTTTGAAAGGGTGGCAGTTTGGCCCAGGGAGTGAGTGGCTGGGGAGACGGGGGGAACATCATTGTAGGTACTGATCTTCATAAAGAAAGAGTGACCCTGAATGGAATCGTGGGGAAATCAGAGCTCCAAGTAGAAGCCAGCAGGGTCAGAACTTCTCTGAGAGGCCAGAATCGTCGATGATGGGGTGCAAAGCCAAGGGCACCATGTTGGGAGGGAGTGGAGGATGCCAGAAGGAGACGCAAATTGGAAGAGGCCTGCTGAGGGAGGAGTCAGGAGGTGAGATCTGGGGAAGTCATTTTCAATCACTTCTTCCTCTGCCTAATTCCTTTCCATTCAATTGAGTTCAAAGAGGTTTTATCTGATAAGAATCTGAAACCCAGTGATAAACCAGATGTGGCTCCCGCATTCACCAGGTAAGGTGAGCACATCAAGCTCTCAGATGGGGAGAGATGGGGAAACAGTGCAGATAACATCAGTAGTGCGCAAGTTTTAGATCTGGTACCCTCTAGGACAGTGGTTCTCAGCCTTGGCTGCACATTAGAATCACCTGGGAATCTTTTTACAATCCTGATTTCTGGGCCTCATCCTCCAGAAATTCTGTTTCTTTGTTATGGGGTGGGGCCACAACATTAGTAACAAAGAAACAGAATTTCCGGATGAGGCCCAGAAATCAGGATTTTAAAAAGATTCCCAGGTGATTCTAATGTGCAGCCAAGGCTGAGAACCACTGTCCTAGAGAAAGTTACTCTGGTTGAAGCCGCACGCCTCTTGACCTCTCCCCTCCCCATTGGTGGTCCCTGAAGTGATTCCCAGCTTTGACTGACCATGGAAATCACCTGAGGATGTCTGAAAAAATACTAATGCCGAGTACCACCCGCAGGGATTTGGATTTAATTGGTCTAGAATCCTTAGTGCTGTTGCAGAGGCAGGAGAGGCTCCCACCACCGCTGCTGTGCTCGCCAGCCATGAGCCCAGCTTCTGGCTGAGCAGTGCTCCCCCTCTGGGAGCACACTGACCACCAGGGGTCAGCTCCTGCATTGTCTGCCCCCTGGAGGTCAGTGTGTGTCATAGCGACCGGTCGTTACGCCGTCGGCCGAAACTGGCTCTCCAACATCTCCCGAAGGGTCCTGGATTGCAAGAGGGCACAGGCCAGGCTGAGGGACCCCACCGGTGCACAATCGGGGCCAGGGAGGGACGCGGGAGGTTGGCCAGCTGAGGAGGGACCACAGGAGGGCTCCAGGGTGTGTCCAGCCCGTCTCACTCAGTCCTGATTGGCCGTACCAGCAGCAAGCTAACCTACTGGTCAGTGCGTCTACCCTCTGATGGTCAGTGCACGTCATAGCAAACAGTTGAGTAGCCTTAGCATATCATTAGCAAATTTACTCTTTGATTGGTTGAACAGCTGACCGGACAATCAGACACTTAGCATATTAGGCTTTTATTATATAGGATTGTAAGGAAAGACACTGGCCAGAAGCTACTAACAGACAACAATTATTGCTATGTAACCAAGCAAGATGCCCTGTTAAATAAATCAAAGCAAAGATTTTAAGGTTATTTACCAGCTGATCAGGGCTCTTTACTGCACCCCATTAATCAGGGCGCTGTGTCTGTGTGCCAGTTGTGGAATAAATGGAATGAGGGATCTTCTTCACACACATACTCTAGGCTCTGGTACCTAACTTTGGGACCCAAACACAATTTATTAAATATCATGAGAAGGTTGACAGGCACAGCAGGAAACGTTGGCTTTGTCCTACTGAACCTTACCAAGCTTCAGGGGCTGTCAGTACATTAGCTGCTTAGGTATGGAGCATCTGTTATGCATGGCCCCATGGGACTCATGAGATGGGGGAGTAGGCAGGAATGCAGGCTTTCAGCTGCTCCAGAGGACAAATGTATGGGACAGCAAACTTTTTTGAGGGAATGAGAAGATTGCAAGAACCTAGAAGGGTGCCATCTTTACAGTGGCTGGTAGGATTAGAAATACTGCAGTTCTTTTTCCAGCAGCGTCTTTGGCAGGAAAAATGGGTCAGTAACTGGTGGCATTGTTGCCTAAACAGAAGGTACTTGTAGTACAGGGGAGGACGGGTCAGAGGGAAAGGAGGTTTTAAGTCAAATGAAAATAGAGATGTAAGCAGGGAAGACTCAGGAGACTGGCATGGAGGTGAGTGCCCCGTCTGAATGGGACATCCTGGTTGTTGGTAAGGCCACCCTCAGGGCATGGGGTAAGCACATCCATAGGTAACTGAGCCAGGAATTTGGGTTACACAGTAAGAAGAGTTAATTCTGGAAGCCTGTGCCTGAGAAAGGACGCCTTCTCCAGGCGGTAGAAACAACATAGGAGATGGGACACTCAGCCTCTCCTGTGATCTCTACTCTCTTCCAGATGGGAAACCAGCGTTTCAACACCACAGCACTCACCTCGGGGAAGCATCCTAAAGAACTGCGGAAATTTTGACCCTCAGACCTTAAAAAGAAAAAGGTTAATTTTCTTTTGTAATGCAGCTTGTCCCCAATACAAACTCAGGGACAGGAAAGTGTGGCCTGTAAATGGATCTCTAAATAACACTATTCTCCAATTAGATTCGTTTTGCATAAATTAATCAAATGGAATGAAAAACCTTACATTCAAATGTTTATAGCCCTTTACCAAGATAGGGATTTAAGGAAAACTTGCAGAATGTGTGTTGCCACCATATCAGATGAATGAAAGGACGCCTTCCTCACAGCCCCAGCAAGACGCCGGCCTCTGTCTCCAGAGCAGCAACCAGAAGCCGGGCCAAAGGCAGAGCAGCCTGCTTCTCAGCTCACTCCTCCTCCCGAAGAGCAGCTGCCCCTGGGTAAGGCCTCCTTCGCTGCAAACGGCAGACCTCGTTTGCAGAACTGCAGGCCCTTGCTCAACAGTCCTGCCACTACCCGGAGCAGAACTCATTTCCCCCAAACCCTAACAGTCGCCTCTGATGGAAGGAGCAAGTGGGGAGCCGGCTGAAAGAGTTGTTCGGGTACATGTTCCCTTTTCTATGTCTGACCTGGAACTTCGCAAAGAAAAACTCGGTTGGTTTTCCAAAAACCCTAGCAAATCACAGAGGGGTTTAATCACTTGGCATTGACGTATGACTTCACTTGAAATAATTTACAAATTGTTCTCTCCCACTACTGTACTGTAGATGAAAAGCAACACATAGCCCAGCAGGTGTGGCTCAGTGGTTGAGCATCGACCCCTGAACCTGGAGGTTATGATGGTTTGATTCCTGGTCGGGCACATTCCCGGGGTTACGGGCTTGATCCCCAGTGGGGGGAGGGGCATGCAGGAGGCAGCCGATTGATTGATGAACCTCTCTCATCATTGATGTTTCTATTTCTCTCTCCCTTTCCCTTCCTCTCTCTGACATCAATAAAAACATATATTTTTTTTAAAAAAATAACACATAATAGAAGCTGCAAGGGTTTATGCTAATGAATTAGCTGGTCATCGCGCTCAACATCACATATACCGACCACCTCAGGACCCGAACTGGGTGTGTCAAATGGGAACAAATGAAGGACAAGAGGAAAGGGACCTTCAGACCCATATGGTTACTTGTATCATAAAAGGAATTTTAAAAATGTACTACTAAGCCTATTAATTATGACAAAATTTGGAAAGGTTACTCAAAAAAGGATGAAAACCCTGCTCTTTTTCAGGGGCAATTAACAGACTTTACAAAAATACACACAAAAATGCCCCAAGTCTGTTGAAGGCCAAGCACTTCAGGGATGCGTTTCACCCAGCAGGCACCCCCAGACGTCAGGAAAAAATTACCGAAAACTAGCCTTGGAACCCAGACACCCACTGAACAGCTGGTGAAAAACAACTTGCAGTGATTTTAACAACTGAGGCGGGGAAGAGGAAGAGCAAAAAGCCACCCAATGAAAATGAAAGGCTCATTCATTAGCCACAGTGTTAAGGCCTTAGGTCAGCTCAGCGTCACCCAGCTCTGGCTTACAATGGACATCAAAGGGGCAATGCTATTCCCACGGACAAGAAGGACACTGGAAAAGGGGGTGCCCTGGGAAGGGGCATCCTCAGTAACCGTGCCCCCTCTGCCGCAAGTTCAGCCGCTGGAAGAGGGACTGTCCTGGGGACCAGAGGGTCCCTGGACCAGAACCACCTACACAATGGCTTTGAACGGAAGGGGACCTGTGCCCCAGTTGACTCCCACTAAAAACATCATCACTGAAGGGAAGAGCCAAGGGCAGCCCTCGAGGTGACAAGTAAGCCAGTGCATTTTTATTAGACACCAGGACTTCTTCCTCCACTCTGACTCACTCACCAGGGCCTCTTTCTTCCAAAACCTGTTTGATCACTGGGGTGAACAGGCGTCCTCAGTGCTACCACTTCACTCCACCCCCGGCTGCAGCCTTGGGAACCTCGCTTTTAATCAGGCCTTTCTTGTAGATCCGGGTCCCCTGCTCCCTTATTAGGGAGGGGCATCTTGCCTAGGCTTCTGGGTAATTATGATGTAAACAAGGCTAGGGTAATTGAAGGAAAATTTGTAAAAGTGAGTCTTTTCAAACATTCCAAATCCTCCTCCTGGAGGTCTAGGAGCTGCTGCGGTCCTGGGAACAAAGGGGAATTAATATCCTAAAAGCCTGTGCAGGCCGGGGAGCAGCAGGGCGGCTGGCCACCCCGATGTGAAGTAAAAAGATACTTTTGAACTGAAGCTGCTGGAATGCCCAAGCCAGATATCCCCCCTGCCTCTTCTACAAGCACACTAAAGAAATGGTTCAGCCCTAGCTGGTTTGGCTCAGTGGATAGAGCGTCGGCCTGCGGAATGAAGGGTCCCGGGTTCAATTCTGATCAAGTGCACATGCCCGGGATGCGGGCTCGATCCCCAGTAGGGGGCATGCAGGAGGCAGGTGATCAATGATTCTCTCTCATCATTGATGTTTCTCTCTCTCTCCTTTTCCTTTCCTCTCTGAAATAAAAAAAATATATCGTAAAAAAATAAGTGATAATACATTTCTTCGCATGAATTCAATAAGACCTGTTTCCAATTGTGGTTTTATTAACCAAGACTTGACTGGAATGTCATGTCTGAGAGAGTCATGCCCGGAGTCTGGATGTCACCAGAAAGCTTTAAGGAATGAAGCCAATAAGAGCACCTTGGAGAAAGCCTGCTACCTTGTTTGGTCACCTTGCTTGGTTCATAGCAGTCTTTCCAGGTAAGGAACGAAGGTTGCTTTCCTGAGAGATGGCAGGGAAAGCACCTCAGGATATCATTGGGGACCTGAGGAATTCAACCATATCTGCAGGTATTGCAGGCAAACCTGATGGCGGCTAGGTGGCTCAGCATCTTTCCCCTGTGGGGCTAATTAAAGCTTGATTATGAAATTCCAAAGCACATCTTTTTAAAATAGTCTGTGTGATCAACTGTTATTCTTATTATGTTCATGCAAACAATCATGCCAAATTGTGACTAGACTTGATACAGTAAATAAATTGGTCTTAAGTTGGCTCTTTAATAAAAATGAGGGTGATTTTAGGGAGAAAAAAAATTGTGTTTCAATAGGAAATTATTAGAACTGAAGTGTTTTTCCTTCCACCAGACCATTTGTTGTAATTCTTGCTGTTCTAACTTTTGCCCAATAATACTAAATTTTATAACACAGTTTGTCTCCAGCAGGTTACAAGCCCTACTCACACTCAGGGAATACCACCTCTAGACACCATTTCCACCTTCTTCCATGCCCAGGCCTCATTGTCCCTCTGAGAGAGAGCAAGGATCGCTTGGCTCTGAAGGAAAACCTTCGCCCCTCCTCAGCAGGAAGCAGTTACAGAAGAGACACTGCGCCCCTTTTCTCTGAAAGAATTCAGAGACAAGACCCTTGAGGGGATGTGGTAGGCAGTTAGACAGATGTGAGAAGAGCAAGGACGATGGGCCAACCAGAGGAGAAGTGGATGGGACCCTGAGACATGCTTCTCACCACTCCAACTGCTCTGAAGCTGGCAATGGAGGAACCTGTGTAGAACTGACCTTTACATTTGCTGAGTAGGAGTTGGATACCTATTGCTAATATATAGAATTACTCTATTCATTTTGGGAAGAAAGTCATAGATGGAGACCTTTTATATGTTGGGACCCACTGTCTGGGAAAAGGATGCAGGGATGTTTTCTCTAAAGGTTGCTGCAGTAGCTTCCTGTGGTGAATCTCGGACTTTCACTGCGTGTTCTAGTTATTGTCTTTCAGTATCTAATAACTTCAATATGAGTTGTTCTGATGATTGCACCCTCCCTTATAGCAATGGGCATACTGAGCTGCTGGCTGGTTGGTTTCTGACATGTGGGGTAACAGCATGGGGGGTGCCTGTTCCTTAAGATGACTGACTGTCTTTATGCCTTAGAAACATCACAGGGTCTGAACCAAAAGAGACTTTCTCGAGGCCGTGGCACCAGACTGCAATGACGATCTCCACCTGGGAAGCCCTACTGGATATATTGCTGTAACCATTTTTGTTATGCTGGTAATGGTAGGATCCCTTAGTGTAGAAGTGCCCTGCTGGCTTGTAGCAGGGTAAAAGCCCTGAATGCCACCTCCAGGGCCATACAAGGGATAAATCAAGAGCTGAGCCAGGTCAGGGAGGCAGTTCCAGAAAATCGGGCAGCAATAGATTATTTGCTGTTGCGGCATAACCCTGGTTGTGAGGAATTTAAAGGAATGTGCTGTTTTAATATTTCTGACAATTCTCAGTTGATAGAAAACATATCCAAGATCCTGCATTTGGTGTACTCCATCCCTGGGAACTGCTTTCAAGGCAGAAGCAGATACAGTTCAGCAGGATGAGACTTTTCTTCTAAAACTAATCTCATAGATATGAGATGATAGAAATAGCAGTGGGGAGTGTTAGGGGCAAATATAGAATATTGGGTACTAAGTGCGGTTATGGGAAATATTAATCATGTGCTGTTAACCATGATTGCCTTGTGTTGGTTAAAGAAAGGACATTGTAACCTGGTGTTGTAGAAGACCAAAGAAACCCAAGCGACGCTTAGAGAAATGGAGTTACACAGCTTTATTACGCCGGCAGTCTCAGAGGAGTAGCCTCCAGAGTCTGAGCAAACCAATATGGTGGAATCCCTTATTTTATTCCCTTTGGTTTCTTTGTCCCCCAAATATGGATGGGGACTTCCTGACCTTTCGTGGGCTTTGCAAAAAGCCCCAGGTGTTGGAGGTCTTGAGACCATACCTAAGGGCCTGGCCTGGCGCCAGCACTGATAACCCCCCTCCGGGGGCTGTGTCATGGTTTATGGCCTCTGTAAAATGTGAGCATTTAGGTAACAGGTCTTGCAAGACCAGTTTGTGGAGAAAGGGGCAGTGACTTAATTATAGGTTGTCAAGAAGAATGTACATTAGATTGCTGCCACCCCCCCAAATATCAGGGTTACATTGGAATTAGCCTTTTAGCCTTCTCACTGGCTGGGAGTTGTGTACCCC